GTTCGGATTTCCCGTCCTTGCTTCCAGGACTCGTCTGGTAAAACCAGACTCATCTGGTCTTATTAGACGAGTCTCGGGAGCAAACTTGCTTCTGGGCTCTTGGATGAAACGTTTCATTCGTCTCTGAGATTAGTATGCGCACGAGCATATGGTATAATTCTGAATTCCACTGCCGTTTTTTTCGTTAACTTTCAATTTGGCTCATGTGCTCGCTTTTGAAAACCATGTTTATCATGAGCCGCCTGGCCAATCCTTCCGCTTAATGCGTTTTTAGCTGATACCAAGTTCTGCTTCACTTGTCCTGGTTTAGGTAACACTGGAAACTGACGAGGATCTAGTGACAGAAATGAAAGTAAAGTATTTCGACACAGTGCCTGCGGCAAATGCTATGTGCATCTTGAAAACTGGATTCCTGTTTGTTGCTAGCGAATTTGGAGATCAGTAAGTTTTGTTACAACAAATTACCATAATTATTTTAGTATGCAGTTATTTTGGTTTTAGCTTCAATTTATTTAGTGTTCTAGGCGATTTTTTTAAATCTTTCCTCTTACAGTCATCTTTATCAAATTGCTAATCTGGGTGACGATCCTGAGGAGCCAGAATTCTCGTCGAAAATGCACTTAGACGAAGGCGAAACATTCTTTTACGGCATTCGCGAACTGAAAAGTCTTGTTCCCATAGATCGTATCGACAGCTTGTGTCCGTTCACTGATGCATATGTAAGTTCTAGCCTTTTCTGGCCGAATATTTCCGCAAAAAAGAAAACTTTCAGATTGGTGATTTGGCTCACGAAGACGCGCCACAAATATACGCATTAGTTGGTAGAGGCGCTCGGTCAACGCTTCGCGTTTTGAGGAACGGTTTGGAGGTGCATATTTCCCAGCATTCGGTGTTTCCCTTTTCATCAAACAGAATTTAGGTGGCTGAAATGGCGGTTTCAGAGCTTCCTGGTAATCCGAATGCGGTCTGGACTGTGAAGAAAAACGTTGATGGTAAGTTTCAAGTTTTTTTTTCTCAAAATGAGTCAATGTTTTGGTATATTGCATGCCTCTTTCTTCAGATAAACATGACGCTTACATCGTGGTATCATTCGTGAACGCTACACTGGTGCTAGCTATTGGGGAGACTGTAGAAGAAGCCAATGACTCTGGATTCATGGCCACAACACCGACTCTCGGTTGTGGAATCATTGGTGATGATTCGTTACTTCAGGTAAGTCGAAGGAACAATGCTCAACATATCCATTATTATCCCTGTGCTGTAGGCTTATTAATTCTTGCGGGTGATGCTTCATAGGTTGAAGATAAATAAAAGTACCTTTCTGAAATTGTCTTTTTAAAGTAAGGGTCATAGCGTCAAGCCTAGAAATTTCGAGCAATTGTCGAATGCGTAGGGGTATGAAGTGCTAGTTTGGCTTGATAGTCAAATTTCTATGTTCAGATATATCCTGAGGGTATTCGTCATATTCGTGCCGATCGTCGTGTAAACGAGTGGAAAACACCTGGCAAACGTCAGATCGTGAAATGTGCTATGAACAGGTTAGTTTACTACTGGGGAGTGGTTTCTAACTGTTTCTTTTTCAGTTTCTAAGTTGTTTCTAACACCTAAATATATCCGAAAGCTAATATCTCATTTTAAGTAGTGCTAGTTTCTATATTAATGTGTTTTTTCTTTATTCTGATCCCATTTTGATATCCTTCATGAAGTTGTTTATTCTTCGCAGTTTTTTTTAATATTTTATCTGCCTGATTTTTGAACGGCTATTTGATTCTAAATCGATTGATGTTTAGGAGACAAGTGGCCGTGGCTTTGGCTGGTGGAGAACTTGTGTACTTTGAGCTTGACCCGGTTAGTTTTGTATGAACTTTTTTATTCATTTTATTTGAAAGAACACAATTTTTGTAGACTGGGCAGCTAAATGAGTTCACCGAGCGCACATCTTGGCCTCATGAAGTGCTGTGCATGAGTCTGAGTGAGATACCGGAGGGTGAACTACGCTCTCGTTTCCTCACTGTCGGCATCGCAGATAGTACTGTTCGAGTGATATCATTAGATCCTCAAGGATACGCTGAGCCCTCTGAGGTTTGTTACTTACCTTTTTGAACAATTACTATCTAGTTGCTACTTTACATGCAAAGATATGAGGCGTATTCATTAGTCTTTGGGTTCTCGGAATGTCCACACTCGAGTTTTTCTTGCAGCGATTTGATTGCTATTTGATACGAATTCCATGTGTAGATTGACAAAGATTGGTGAGGACTCGCCCTAATGCGGAGATCGTCCGGGAGAACGGGGTCCCATTTCACGGGCTTAGGCCGCTGACCTATCGCTTGAATCGTTGGCTCGTGCTCTGCGATTCGCTGTATTTGCAGTGTGCTACTGCCCTCGAAGGGCTTGAGTTGTGGGAGCTTAGGAACAGTATAAGTGCGAATAGAAAGGTCGAACTCTTGTCCTATTGTGGGCAGTTGCTGGGACTTGAAGGAAGTGAATTTTCAGTTGAAGCACCATTAGTTTTTGAAGCTCTTGCTCGCTATTTCAGTATGCAAGCGCTTCCTTCTCAGCCTGAGTCACTTCTTCTTCTGGAGACGACAAGTGAAGATAATAAAGGATCATCTACAATTCATCTCAACATTGGACCTTCAGGTTTGAGATTATCAAATCTAATTCCAGTTTTCTTTTGAATAGTACCACCTATTTGCCTTTCCTTATCCAGCATGGTATATTTTAAAATTGTTGAATTGGAATAAGTGTACTTGCCTACCTTTTTCAGAATGGCTGTTTGCTGCGTACCACTGTAGATAACGTCACTGGAGATATGATGGATACTCGTACAAGATATCTTGGAACGAGACCAGTTCGCGTGTTCAGAGTGCGCAGCCAGAACAGGGACGCTGTGAGTACTATTATTCTTAATGGTCCGCCCATTTCTAATATTTTCGGTATTTTTCAAACATTCGATGAGTACCGTTAAATACGTTGGTTTTGGTTGCACTCCTCCAAAAATGATTCTAGGTGTTGTGCACATCTTCCCGATCATGGCTACTGTATCATTATCAAAACCGTTTCCATCTCACGCCATTGAGCTACGTGACACTCGAATCTGCATCTAGCTTCAGTTCCGAGCAATGCTTAGAAGGCATCGTCGCTATTGCAGAGAATACTCTAAGGTACTGACTTCTTCGAATCTGAGGAATCATTTTATGGTAGAGGTCATTTTCAGGATTATGGCGGTGGAAAAACTTGGGGCATCTTTCAACCACATATCGTATCCACTTAAATTTACACCACGACGTATGATTGTCCATCCAACTGCTACCACGCTGATGATGATCGAAACTGATCATGCCGCTTACACAACAATTACGCTTGATAGAAAACGCAATGATATGGCAGATGTGAGTTTTTTTGCAACTTTTCAGTCCCTCTCTCATTTTCACTTGACAGTTCTGTTCGTGTCCGTAACTAGCAACGACCTTTTTGCAACTCATGGGAAAGAATCTTTCTCTTTTGTTGTTTCTTAGAGTTTCTGAGGTTACGTGTTCTAGTTTTTTTTTTTGTTATTTTTCATTCGTGAATTAGTTACAACTATGTGACTGCGGATTTTGAACTCTCCCCAGAATTTTGCTCTTTTCTCGGGCATAGTGCATACTCTTTTTGCTTTTTTTTTAACTGCTCCTATTTTTATTTCCAGAATTTTCAATTTTTTCTACTCCCTTCATTCTACTCCTCTTCTTTTCATTTCAT